TTTTTCAGCAATTGAACGAGGCTTCTTTGAGATCTGCTTCCGTTAGGCCCATGACGTACAATTCAAGAATTTTGGCCATGAGAATCTTTTTTTTTCCCCTTTACAAATACGACATTTCTATGAAATGTAAATATATTAACTGAGGAAAAAAAAAAGGGGGGGGGGGCGAATAATATTTTTAACACTTTCAAATCTCTCCCTCGCACTTGACCCTTTAAAAAAAAAAAACAGCATTAAACACATTTTTTTTCGAACAAACTTCCATTTGAACACAAATTACTTCGTACAAATCGGTTTTGTAATAGCTTCCGGTAGCCCAACGATTAAATCAATATCCATATGACTATGAGCCTCCTACCCGTGAAGGTTATTCGTCTAACGTCTAACTCAAAACAGCGTGACTTAAAATATCACATGTCTGCCTCGATTCAATGCAGGATATAAAAGAAGCAACCTTGCATTGTGTTGCCAGTATATTTTTAGAATTTCCCTAGAAAAAAGCAATTTGTGGAATTCCCGATTTTACTTAAAAGACGTAACGGCCTACCGAGAAAGACGATGTGTTTCACTATTTCACTACCTACACAGGAAATTATTTGAAGTTGAGGACATATTCACACGATTTTTAAACTTAAAGCTCAGTCTCTTAGACGGGTAAGTGTTGTCTTACTGATTTAAAAACAATAAAACAAACAAAAAAGACTACGTTTTCATGTATTAGCCTCTGAATGTGACCATGACCATATGCCATATGGGCATGGGAAAAACCGGTTTTAATTTTATATGAATGTATTTCATTGTCGCTAATGTCGTGTTAGCAAGAAGTAAAATCACAGCAACAACAAAACTTTCCACTGTGTTAAAGGAATTAAAACCCCTTAAATATTACCACTAGCATTAAATAAATGAACGCCCTAAATTTCTTACTTTCACTTTAAACAAAATATTCAATATGAACTAAAAACATTTATAAAAAAATTCATAATGAATGTGTACTCTTTGACTTTGAATAAATAAATGTGTCTCTTTCCAATTTTAACAATTAAATATTTGATAATAATTCAACATTAAAAATTTGAAAATATTAAAACACTAGATAGTTGAAACTAATCTTTCATGACATTTAAACAATCTGCTCCTGTCTGTTACCCTAAAAATATATTTTTTTAAAAGCAAATTTAATTTATAAAGAAGAGCTCTTCAGTCAAAAAAGGGTTGCCCATTGCTGAATTATCCGATTTAACTTTTTCCTTGAAAAAATGTATCCATTATTTTATTTGAATTTATTATAAAGTATCCCCAGTGTCCAAGCTTGGTTAATTTGATTCTATAGTATACTAATTTTGTTTGTCATGGGTTTCATTTTCCCCTACAGCCCATTCATCAATATTCGAAAACTCCAACTCATTTCTCAGAAAAGCATCACATGGTTGTAAAGTTGTGGAAATATAGTTTTCCTAGAAATTTTCATGAATCAATTTTATCAGTTTTTTCCTCGCAATCCAATTTATTGAGTGTAGCTTCCTGGGTCTACTTCTTATAACACTAACCACTGTGGTGGTGGGAGCTTGTGGATGGGACTTGTCCTTGAAAGGTGATGTGTGCACGTTATTGTGACTTGTGTTAGAGAAGTGGTAGGTGCTAATGATGGTGACTTGTGTTAGAGACATAGTAGGTGCTAATAATGGTGACTTGTGTTAGAGAGGTGGTAGGTGCCAATAATGGTGACTTGTGTTAGAGAGTTGGTAGGTGCTAATAATGGTGACTTGTGTTAGAGAGGTGGTAGGTGTCAATAATGGTGACTTGTGTTAGAGAGTTGGCAGGTGCTAATAATGGTGACTTGTGTTAGAGACATAGTAGGTGCTAATGACGGTGACTTGTGTTAGAGAAGTGGTAGGTGCTAATGATGGTGACTTCTGTTAGAGAAGTTGTAGGTGCTAATAATGGTGACTTGTGTTAGAGGGGTGGTAGTTGCTAAAAATGGTGACTGTGTTAGAGATATAGTAGGTGCTAATAATGGTGGCTTGTGTTAGAGGAGTGGGAGGTGCTAATGCTGGTGACTTGTGTTAGAGAAGTTTTAGGTGCTAATAATGGTGAATTGTGTTAGAGAGATGGTAGATGCTAATAAAGGTGACTTGTGTTAGACACATAGTAGGTGCTAATGATGGTGACTTGTGTTAGAGATATAGTAGGTGCTAATAATGGTGACTTGTGTTAGACGAGTGGTAGGTGCTAATGATGGTGACTTGTGTTAGAGAAGTTGTAGGTGCTAATAATGGTGACTTGTGTTAGAGAGATGGTAGGTGATAATAATGGTTGGTGCTAATAATGGTGACTTGTGTGAGACACATAGTAGGTGTCAATAATGGTGACTTGTGTTAGAGAGTTGGTAGGTGCCAATAATGATGACTTGTGTTAGACACATAGCAGGTGCTAATAATGGTGACTTGTGTTAGAGACATAGTAGGTGCTAATGATGGTGACTTGTTTTAGAGACATAGTAGGTGCTAATGATGGTGACTTGTGTTAGAGGCGTGGTAGGTGCTAATGATGGTGACTTGTGTTAGAGACATAGTAGGTGGTAATAATGGTGACTTGTGTTAGAGGGATGATAGGTGCTAAAAATGGTGACTTATGTTAGAGACATGGTAGGTGCTAATAATGGTGACTTGTGTTAGAGAAATGGTAGGTGCTAATAATGGTGACTTGTGTTAGAGACATAGTAGGTGCTAAAAATGGTGACTTATGTTAGAGACATGGTAGGTGCTAAAATGGTGACTTATGTTAGAGACATGGTAGGTGCTAATAATGGTGACTTGTGTTAGAGAAATGGTTCGTGCTAATAATGGTGACTTGTTTTATAGAAATGGTAGGTGCTAATAATGGTGACTTGTGTTAGAGAAATGGAAGGTGCTAATAATGATGACTTGTGTTAGAGACATAGTAGGTGCTAAAAATGGTGACTTGTGTTGGAGACATGGTAGGTGCTAATGATGGTGACTTCTGTTAGAGAAATGGTAGGTGCTATTGATGGTGATTTGTACTTGTATTAGAGAAGGGGTTGGTGCTAATGATGTTGACTTAGTTCAGAGAGTTGGTAGGTGCTAATGATGGTGACTTGTGTTAGAGAATTGGAAGGTGCTAATAATGATGACTTGTGTTAGAGACATAGTAGGTGCTAAAAATGGTGACTTGTGTTGGAGACATGGTAGGTGCTAATGATGGTGACTTCTGTTAGAGAAATGGTAGGTGCTATTGATGGTGATTTGTACTTGTATTAGAGAAGGGGTTGGTGCTAATGATGTTGACTTAGTTCAGAGAGTTGGTAGGTGCTAATGATGGTGACTTGTGTTAGAGAGGTGGTAGGTGCTAATGATGGGGACTTGTACTTGTGTTAGAAAAGGGTTGTTTCTAATGATGTTGACTTGTAGTAAGAGTGGTAGGTAGTTGGTGACTTATACTTGCGTTAGAGAGGTGGTAGGTGCTAATGATGGGGATTGTCCTTGCGTTAGAGAGGTAGTAGGTGCTCATGATGGGGACTTGTACGTGTGTTAGAAAAGTTGTTGGTGCTAATGATGTTGACTTGTATTAGAGAAGTGGTAACGTGCTAATGATGGTGACTTGTGTTAGAGAGATAGCAGGTGCTAATATGGTGACTTGTGTCAGAGAGATAGCAGGTGCTAATAATGGTGACTTGTGTCAGAGAGGTTGTAGGTGCTAATGATGGTGATGCTCCGTGAAAAGTGATGGGTGCTACTGAAGGGGACTGGCGCTAGAAGGGTGGTTTGGTTCTAATGAAGGTAACTGGTTTTAGGAGTGCTTGGTGCTAGTGGAGGGTACGGGTGTTAGAGAGGTGCTGGGTGCAAGTGAAAGGAACTGGTGTTAGAAAAGTGGTTTTGTTGCTAGACTGGTCCTTGGGAGGTCATTTGAGGGGGTGGGGGGGAGTTGTTCCACTGTAAGCGCAGCGGTGTGACCCATATGTTTTTACATACTGTATCTACCTGTCGTAACCTGATACGCACACAATCGATTTTGTTTGGCGAGTGGGCCTGTCAAGGTGTGAATTAAGGCTCAAAAGATAAATTAGGTTACATTAATAAGTGTAATCAGATGCAGCTAATGGGCTAAATTTAGTTGTATATTAAAGGGTGTTAAGCTGTATAATCAAAGTGTTTATAGTGTGTTTATTGAAGTGTATAGAAAAGTGTGTTTACATTTAAATGTAAAGTCGTATATTTTGAGGTGTAATGCTAAAGGGTGTGCACGAGTGTGCAGTAAACTTCAAAGAAACAAGGTGTCATTGAGAACTTTCATATCATTAATATTTCGGGTAGAGCTTGATCTAAGCACCCCGAGCATGGGCGCGAGATATTGCCATACGGGTACTGGCGCCATGCTTGGCGTCTGATCTTGATTAACTTCAACTTTAGCTCAAACAGCTTTCCTCTTTCTCATCTTTGCGGTACTTACACTGTTTAGGACTCAAGGCGAAAATATTACGTTGGTATCACATTTAAAAATAAATATGTACACACAACAGACGGACAAAAGCATACAATTGGAGGCGAAGATAACACGAGATACTTTCATAACCGATTTCAACGACAAAGCGTGTGGTTGACCCGAGCACTGGGGCAAACGAGGCAACAAAACCTAACAACGAACGTGCTGGACATTCGAATTCCAGGGCAGCTTTCGGATTTCGAGAGAAGATCGGCTTTCAAGCTGGTCGGGTTCTAAGGCTTTTTGTGCGATCAGTTTATAATCTTTGAATTCCTCCATTGGTCCATGGCCTTCAAAGTCACTAGCGATCAGTTTATAATCTTTGAATTCATCCATTGGTCCATGGCCTTCAAAGTCACTAGCGATCAGTTTATAATCTTTGTTTATAATCTTTGAATTCCTCCATTGGTCCATGGCCTTCAAAGTCACTAGCGATCAGTTTATAATCTTTGAATTCATCCATTGGTCCATGGCCTTCAAAGTCACTAGCGATCAGTTTATAATCTTTTATTTCCTCCATTGGTCCATGGCCTTTAAAGTCACTAGCGATCAGTTTATAATCTTTGAATTCCTCCATTGGTCCATGGCCTTCAAAGTCACTAGCAATCAGTTTATAATCTTTGAATTCATCCATTGGTCCATGGCCTTCAAAGTCACTAGCGATCAGTTTATAATCTTTGAATTCCTCCATTGGTCCATGGCCTTCAAAGTCACTAGCGATCAGTTTATAATCTTTGAATTCATCCATTGGTCCATGGCCTTCAAAGTCACTAGCGATCAGTTTATAATCTTTGAATTCCTCCATTGGTCCATGGCCTTCAAAGTCACTAGCGATCAGTTTATAATCTTTGAATTCCTCCATTGGTCCATGGCCTTTAAAGTCACTAGCGATCAGTTAGAGGGAGGCATTTGGTTTTCTAGACAATTCAAGGGAGGTAACTAGTAATTTTAAAAAAGAGCTGTTAAAGTTAATTTCAATAAGTTAACACTAATATAATTAAAATTGAAATCTGAATCGGCTAATCGATGATCCGCCAAACTTTGATCGATCAAACGGTGTCGTTGGACTCAGAGTTTCGTAAAATTTCAGCTCTCTTTAAACAACGGTATATATATATATATTTAAATTGTCGTCAAATAAGTCACAAACATTTAGAATCATACAGACAGACCCTAACATGAAAGAGCACCATGAACTGAATAAAATCCTTTAAAATAACGTGCATTCTTCTGAGAGCAGAAAGTATGTTTATGCTACCATGTTTTTAAACAATGGACAGTGCCCTCCACCTCCACCCCCATACACACACCCGGCACCATGGAAAATGACTTGTTGCTAAATCTCCCTTCATCCCAATCTACCACCACATCTGCATGAGTCATTACAAAATATATACAAAATATTTTTTACGTGAAGTATATATACATATATATACAATTTTTGTCGTTTGAACATCTGTTAAAACTTGGGGAACATTCTGTAAGAAGAGTTGTTTAAAATTGTATTTTATTGTCGGGGAACACTCTGACTATATAGATCTAGAAAGGTAACCTTGTTTCATTTCATGGGCGCCCGCAGAAAACTTTCTAGGGGGGGGGGGCAAAATTTTTTTAGTAACGTTTAAATATAGTTTTAATTTACTGTAGCATATTTGTATGGTGAACGAACGGACAGGACATCAGCTTAGTTACTTTCTCTTTATTTTCTCTTTATTTTAATAAATTTTTTGTCTATTTTTGTCTAATTTTTTTTTATCCAATCAATCCAGGGGGGGGGGGCAAGTGCCCCACCTTGCCACTACCTGCGGGCGCCCATGTTTCATTGTAAATACAAAAAAAAAGTTCATTTTTTAACGCTCTTTATATGCTTGTAAAAAAAACAACCAAAAATGAATGAACTCTAAGGCTATTATTGGTAACTATGTAAAATGTAACACTTTTGGGCAAGAAAAAAAAAATGAAAATAAAAATCACCAAAAAAAAAAAAAAAAGACACCCAAAAATACACCAAACACCATCAACAGACAAAAAGACAGAAAACACCATCAACAGACAAAAAGACAGAAAACACCATCAACAGACAAAAAGACAGAAAACACCATCAACAGACAAAAAGACAGAAAACACCATCAACAGACAAAAAGACAGAAAACACCATCAACAGACAAAAAGACAGAAAACACCATCAACAGACAAAAAGACAGAAAACACCATCAACAGACAAAAAGACAGAAAACACCATCAACAGACAAAAAGACAGAAAACACCATCAACAGACAAAAAGACAGAAAACACCATCAACAGACAAAAAGACAGAAAACACCATCAACAGACAAAAAGACAGAAAACACCATCAACAGACAAAAAGACAGAAAACACCATCAACAGACAAAAAGACAGAAAACACCATCAACAGACAAAAAGACAGAAAACACCATCAACAGACAAAAAGACAGAAAACACCATCAACAGACAAAAAGACAGAAAACACCATCAACAGACAAAAAGACAGAAAACACCATCAACAGACAAAAAGACAGAAAACACCATCAACAGACAAAAAGACAGAAAACACCATCAACAGACAAAAAGACAGAAAACACCATCAACAGACAAAAAGACAGAAAACACCATCAACAGACAAAAAGACAGAAAACACCATCAACAGACAAAAAGACAGAAAACACCATCAACAGACAAAAAGACAGAAAACACCATCAACAGACAAAAAGACAGAAAACACCATCAACAGACAAAAAGACAGAAAACACCATCAACAGACAAAAAGACAGAAAACACCATCAACAGACAAAAAGACAGAAAACACCATCAACAGACAAAAAGACAGAAAACACCATCAACAGACAAAAAGACAGAAAACACAATCAACAGACAAAAAGACTGAAAACAGCAAGACTTTGCAAGCGTACTTTTAAGCCTGCGGCCTATTTAATGGGCCGTAATGATATTTCTGCGCCGTTCGTACACAGGCTTTAAGTTAAGTTGATTTTTTAAAATGATAATATATATACATCACACAATTTTTATATTTTCAGATTTATAACAAGTTGAAATAAGCCAAGGCATGGATCTGCTTCTGATTGGTCGTTCTGGAAACGGGAAGAGCGCAACCGGAAATAACATTTTGGGAAGCGAATGTTTTCTTAAGAACAACGACAGCTACGCCAAATCCTCGAAACCCATGCCAGGCAGACGGTTGGTCGAGAACCAACACGTGACGGTCGTGGACGGCCTCTGCCTGCAGGAGGACTCTTTCACAGACTGCGTGAGGGATGCCCGCGAGGCTTTACGCATGGGCAACGGCGGGTTCACCGCGCTCGTGTTTGTCCTGAGGTACGGGGAGAAATTCGGCGCAGATGAGGCCGATTTGGTGAGGCTGGCAAAACGTGTATTCGGAAAGGATGTGGTTAGAGATTACGCGGTCTGCGTCGTGACAAGAGGGGATGATTTTAAGTACGCCGTCGAGGAGGGCGAGGAGACGGTTCGAAATTTCTACGAATGGTGCCGAAGACAAACGGGTGATCTGAAGAATCTACTTCACGAATGTCGAGATCGGGCTGTTCTTTTTGACAATAAAACTAAAGACGACAACACGAAAAAGAATCAGCTCTCAGAAATTCTCGAGATTGTTCGTAGCATCCAACGTGGTGGTGTTGGGAGATACACAGTAGACAATTTCAGTAAAATTCACGGGAAGCCGTTAGTGCAAGATTCTGAGACGAGCTCTGCTGAGTTCGAGAGGAAAACGCGTGATAAAATCAGAGAGATTGGAGAGCGAGTGGCCATTTATTTAAAAGATGGATTTCCGGATGAGAAGCTGCGGAGGTCACTGCAGGAAGACTTGAGGGAGCTTTCAACAAGTGTAAGTCATACGCTGGAAGACGAGGGAAACAAACTGAAGTACATCAGGCAAATTCAAGATCTGTCTGACAAAATGAAAGAGAAGAGACCAAGCCATCACGACGTAGATAGAGGAGAGGCTCATTTGCCGCAGCCAGTTCAGCCATATCATGCTGGCGAAATTGCACAGCAACGTCTCGACAGGGGCAATGTAAGTATGTTTGTTAGTGTTGTGATCATCATCATTTAATGAACCCTGGTCATTTCATTTGGATTGCTTCGATTTTCCCCGCGACACAAAGGTGGGTCACTGACAAGAATTGGCTGTGGTGTCAATAAAATTGTTAACAAAATGATGAATAGAAATCTTTGAAATATTAACACAAGATTTGATTACTAAAGTGGATTACAATCTGCTAACAAGTACAGTCAACACATCCATCATTTAAAATGCTCACTTGGACTTTTTAACATCTTTTTATTTGGACTTGTCTCCTTGTATATTTGGACCTGTTAACCTTGTTTATTTGGACTTGTTTGCTCTATTTAGCAATGCTTGTTTACCTTGTTTGTCTGCAGATTTAACTTGTTTATTTGGAGCTGTTAACATTTTTTTGATTATCCGGAGGTTTACCTTGATTATCCGGAGGTTTACCTTAATTATCCGGAAACGTTTACTTTTCACAATTTGTGCCTGTTTGCATTGCCCTGTTAACCTTGTTTATATGTGGCTGTTTATGACTCTGAAACTTCTTACAATCATAAAAGAAATATTTCATATTTAAAATGTGTATACATTTTATTTCTGAGATGGTAGCTCGAAGAGCCCCCAAAATATATCGCGACACTAAAGCTACTTTACAAAATGTTTGCTGTCTAGGGTAAGCGGGACCTAGAGATTTCGACAAATATATAACTAACTCTGGCTCATGCAGACCTGTGACCCACAGGCTCTGAGAGACAGAAATTAAGCTGTTGATCAGAATTGTAAGCCACAGGCTCTGAGAGACAGAAATTAAGATGTTGATTTGAATTGTAAGCCACAGGCTCTGAGAGACAGAAATTAAGCTGTTGATCTGAATTGTAAGCCACAGGCTCTGAGAGACAGAAATTAAGCTGTTGATCTGAATTGTAAGCCACAGGCTATAAGAGACAGAAATGGAGCTGTTGATCTGAATTGTAAGCCCCAGGCTCTGATTGACAGAAATTGAGCTTACTTTCCAAGCATTAAAACAAACAAAAAATTCCCTTCAACTCCTTAAAAAGTTATTATTTATTTATTTATTAAAAATATTTCTTTCACACAGGGACAGAACTTACACCTGTTACTGTTGGGTAGGACTGGCAACGGGAAGAGCTCATCAGGCAACTCAATCTTGGGCAAGCCAGCTTTCAAACCTTCTGCAAGCACGTCATCGGTGACCACCGAGATTCTCAGCGACAGTGAAACGATCGGCGGCCAACTGATCACCGTCATAGATGGACCGGGCCTGGACGACACGGAGAAAACCTCGAAGGAGGATTTCCTGGCGTCGATAAGCTCCGTGGAGAAAGCCCTCGACCTTTGTGACTACGGCTTCTCCGCCATCATTGTCGTCTTGAGGTTCGGGTTCCGCTTCACCAGGCAGGAGAGCGACGCCATCAGACTGATGAGGTCGATCCTGGGGAAAGACGTGCTGAAGAAGTACGGGGTCTGTTTGATGACGCACGGGGATAACTTTGAGTTCGAGATGACGCAGGACGTTGAGGAAAGCAAGGCCATGAGCTTCAAAGAGTGGTGCGAAGCTCAGACGGGAGACATCAAGGTGCTTTTTGAGGAATGCAACTTCCGGCACGTGCTGTTCGACAACAAAACGAGAGACCAGGGAAAGAAGGCCAAACAGCGCCAACAGCTGCTGTCGTTAATACCGACCGGGGGCTGCTACTCGAAGGACGAGTTTCTGGCATCGGAAAGGGACTTAGTGGAACTGAATTTGGCATTTATCCTGCCAAAACTGGAACAAAAAACTAATGAAGAGCTTGAGAAATTTAGAAAAAACTTGAAAATTATAGACAGAAATTGTGGCACTGACGACAGTGAATACTTTAAACAGATGGAATCGTTGTTGGCTGATTTAACTGAATATAAAGAGATGATTGTCACGTTGGGGCAGAATAATGCGACGGATTTTTTCATCATGCAACTGAGCGCGCTGGAGGTGGAGGTCAATACGAAATTAAAACTGCACGCTCAAAGCCGAGACATACAAAGTCTGGAGGTATCGAAAGCAAGCCAAGCACACCCAGTGAGGGTGCCGGTGGAGCAATGCGGTCCGCGAAATGCGCCATGGGCACCAGAAATACACAATCCAGGGGCGTCACAGCCACAGTGGCCAGTGCCGTCTTTTGGGCCGGGGTCATCACCCAGTATGGCCCCAGCTCAAGGATACAGAACAACTGAAAGGCCATTTCCCACTTATCGAGTCAATGGTGCTTTGACCGGGTCTGAAGTAAGTGATGTGGAAAATCAAACCATGCAAGAATTTAATAAAATTTACGCAGAATTTGTGTCTGCACAAGAGAGCAGATATATTGAAAGTCGTGTGCGTAAAACGCAGACGGCTCTTGATAAATTAAATAACCTCAAAGTAACCTTTGAAGAGATTGCCAAAGGATTACCCTGTTACGGATATGTTAAAAGTGAGATGAACAAAGCTGAGCATGAAATGTCATGGAACCTGGCGCAAGAAAGGCAGTATGTGCCACCTCTCCTGGTGTACCCTCACGAGCAAAGCTACACACCGCGGCAAGTACAAGATGAAGGATTTGTAATGATTGAGTGTAAGTCACGAGTGACAACAGATCCTTGTTATGACCAAAGCCGCCCAGTCGCACGGTTCGCTCAAAAGAAGCAACACAAACCACTCAGGGCTTTGGTACAAAAGCAATGGGTAAGAGCAAAAAAATTTCTTTCGTCGTTTCTGAAGTAGATTGTTAATAAATTGGCGCGGAAAATACCAGCACCAATTTTATGGACAAAATAGAAATTTAAAAAGTAGTCGATAAAGCGAAAACCTTTTTAATGGGTAACATGTTTTTTTTTTTTTTTTTTATTTGGTGTGCGCAGTCACGTCATATTTTTTTTTGGGTTAATAAATATTTATTTTACATCAACGCAGATACATGTTTTAATATATGCATAAGTGATCATCTGAGGGGATAGCAGTGGTTTTTTTCAGACTTATTTTTTAGATTTTCGGGGAGTNGAAAACCTTTTTAATGGGTAACTTTTTTTTTTTTTTTTTTTTTATTTGGTGTGCGCAGTCACGTCATATTTTTATTTGGGTTAATAAATATTTATTTTACATCAACGCAGATACATGTTTTAATATATGCATAAGTGATCATCTGAGGGGATAGCAGTGGTTTTTTTCAGACTTATTTTTCAGATTTTCGGGGAGTCGGGGCCGTGCCATTTGCCAGTGGCAAGAGGCGTAGCTAAGGGGTGGCAGATGGGACATACGTCCCGGGGCGCCAAATTAGTGTGGGGGGGGGGGTAAATAGGATTTGATGGTTGAATATAATGGGGTTCAGAGTTGGGGGAGGGGGCGTACAAATGAATCGTGTCCATTGACGCAAAACACTCTAGATACGTGCCTGCTAGTGGTGTCGAAATAGGGCGGGTGGGGTGGTCCACCCAGGTGTCGCTTTTTCTTTATTTGCATGCAGGTGTGGCCTTTTCGGACTACTGTAGAGTTTGTATCGTGAAAGGGAGGACGGCAAAAATATTTTCCCGCCCATGGCGGCACTAACGGTAGCTGCGCCACAAGGCAGTGTATCTATCGATACCAAAATCGGCGATCATCTTCATCGCAAAGTAGGGCGTAAATCGAGGGCGCCGGTGAATCTTAATGGTGGAATTTATTTTATTATTTCAAAATCAAGAGGTGTATTTTTGAGAATACGTGAATTCAATGTTCCTGTTCCACTTTTTGAACGTGGAAGGACATTTTTAAGGTTTTTGTGGGAAGCATTATTTAGCCAAGTGCCTTACATGAACTGAATTCACTCCGTTTGGGGCGTGACCCAATGTAATCATTTGGCACAAGCTTATAATCAACCCAATACTGTAACATTGATCAACGTTCGTGAAGGTGGTACAGAAATTTAGGGTGCTTATCAAGTTGGTTATTCAATGTATATAGTTCTTCAAAGATATCGGCTAAATAACTCACAAATGCTTTACCATCGACCGTTAACAGATCCTTTGTAACCGGCCATGTTACTTCGGCATGTGACGATGATTTTTCATACGACACTAATCTTTATTCTCACGGTACAATGGAGTGATCTGATATGTGAAGAATGAATAACACGAGAAAGAAGGAACTAGTTTTAGTAGCGTAAGGAGAATTCAATGTTTTGCAAGTACAGCGGGATTGAGCGTGATAACTTGGATGCGAGAGGAAGACATATTGGATTTTTCTGATGGATTTACTGAATTAATATTAGATAAAGCATTAAACGTGTGTGTGTATCTATTCTCTGCATTGCAACTATAATTGTTAAAACATTAGCCTGATGTCAAGGAATCATGTGATTTATTTAGTATATAATAAAGTACTGTGTAGTGAACATTGGACCTTGTTGCTTCTTATCAGAGAGAGAGAGAAAGAGAGACAGAGAGAGAAAGAGAGACAGAGAGAGAGAAAGAGAGACAGAGAGAGAGAAAGAGAGACAGAGAGAGAGAAAGAGAGACAGAGAGAGAGAAAGAGAGACAGAGAGAGAGAGAGACAGAGAGAGAGAGAGAGACAGTCATTGTGATAAGTTGAATATATAGTAGTACTAATAATAGCATCGTCAAGCCATCGCTTGCATTGATGAAATGCAGCACATTATTAGCTAGCTTTTTATGAGTAACTATCCTGAACCATAAACGCATCAATACAAAAAGGTTACAACATATAAAATATCATAAATGGTACATACTTCATATCAGGTTTGTCACTTAAAAATATCGCAAGAGTATCGAATTGTTCCATAAATCTTTTCAAGCGACTCCCTTTCGAAAGCCACACTACTTCAGTGTGAGTGTGAGGTAAAAAAAAAAGTCTCACAGAGTCTGCATTTCGTTCTATCCAAAATAGCTTGAAGAGACGTTCACATTTGGCATTAGCTTTAATCGCATTGATACACTTAATAACTGAATTAAGTGCTTTATGTAGAACAGGCGAAATTTTTTTAGCTCCTAAGTTTTCCCTATGAATAACACAACGCACAAGTAGCATTTCTGGATTCTCATCTTTCATCAATTTTAAGCAGCAATTTTTCTTGCCCATCATATTAGGAGCAGCATCTGCAGCACAAGATATTCTATTTTTCTTTGGTATATTATTGACATCTACGTAATTGGTGGCGGGCGGGCGGCGTTTGTCCACAGAGGCTTTTACATGGATCTTGACCAAACTTGGCACATATATTCATCTTTATCCGGAAGGAACTCTTATTAAGGGTTTATGAACTTTTTATAACATTCCGTTTGGGGCCGGGGGCCCAAAATGTTTTTTTTTTTTCCTATATGATTTATATAAATAAAATTACTAAAAAATACTCCTACATGAATGGATGGATCTTGACCAAACTTAGTACACATACACTTTATATTTTCATATTAAAATATCGAAGGGTATTGAACTCATAATATCCATTCCTGTGGGGCCAGGGATCCCGTTTCATTTTTTCTTATATAAGCCATATAAATATCAATAGGCTTAGACAGCACTATAGTTTCTATGTGAATTGATGTATCTAGGCCTAGCATTGTAGCAATACCCTTCATTGTCCGTATAGAAATATCGGTGGATTTAAAACTAATAATATATCCATTCCAGAAAGTTCGATAATTTTAAAAAGCTATATCTATGGCATTTTAAGTAGATTTTAATGGGACCAATTTTAAATTTTAACTCCATTATTTCTCCGTCTGATATTTGTTGGGCCCCCTATCTCAGGCATAACTAAATCGGTACAGTTATGAAATGCCCCCCCCCCCCGCCCCCCTCGATTTACTGAAAAGAAAAAGGATTATAATTGTGGCATTTGTAAAAGATTGTTATCGTATTCCAAAAAAATTTAGATAATTTAGTCTAGAATGTTCCAGAAAGCTCCAAATAGTTCAAAGGGGATATATAGTGGGATCTAAGGGATTATTGAAATGTTTGTTAGTTCTATTCATTTCTATACTGTCCCAGAGTTTACTGTTCTCTAAGTATCTCTGAAGAATTTTTTAAATATGGGATCCCAAATCGGTCGGGATATGTATTACTGTATATTGGCTGGAGTTTAGAGACACTTCTTCTTCTATATCTTAAGGGCCCACAATCAATTTATTGATCATTTTGGCTCCTATGCATGTAGATGGGATTTGCAATGTTTCTGTTCTGGTGTTGATGAGGAAATTTCACTGATTTCCAGTGCCACTTTGTGAGGGAATCATGCACTAGGGGTTTGAAGGCTCGAGGCAATAGACACAAATGTGTCTAGTGTTGTCGCCTCAACCGTTCCTTTTGAAAGATTATTCCAGTCCCTGATTGTCTTGGGCAGGAATGAGCAGCTCCTATACTGGCTTCTTGCTGTATGACCCTGAATTGCCTGTCATGGCCTCGTCGCTGTCCATGGGGGAGAGGGACGAGTTTCTGTTTAATACTGGAACAGTGGACCAGCCCATTATTTATCTTGTACATCATGGAGAGCCTGGATTGTCGTCGTCGTTTCTCCAATGGTGACCAGCCTAGTGTTTCTAGCATGCTGCCAACACTAGAGGTCTTCCTGTAGCGGTTTAGGACAAAGCGTGCTGCTCGTCGCTGGACCGCCTCCAACCTGTCAACGCTCTTCTGGGTAAATGGGTCCCAGACTGAAGATGCATAATCTAAAACCAGACGGACAAAGGACACGATATGCATTACCACATATTGGCTAGAACTTGGAGACAGGATATGCATTACAATATATTGACCGGAGTTTGGAGACAGGATATGCATTACTGTATATTAGCTGGAGTTTGGAGACAGAATATTTATTAATGTATATTGGCTGGAGTTTGGGCGTACAGTCAGCATTTTGGGCAAAAACCAGATTTAAGCATGAGATTGTTGTCCTAATTTAAATACATCAACTGACTACCAATGGTGACACCATTATTTTTAGATCAAGCAGCGTCATGAGATGAGGACATTTTAGTTTGAGTAATATAGACATATTGTTTGACTTGATCCAGAAGCCGTTGTTTATCAGAAACATTACATAATAAATTATACTTAATGTTTTTTTTTTTTTAGTTTTGATGACAAAAATGGCATTAATTAATGCTTAACAAAAAAATTGACAGAAAACAAATACCGGTAATGTATAATTCTCAACGTCTAACTTTAATTAATATCTGGAATTTTCAAAGTCATAAAATAAAACAGTTTATTTCAAAATCAAAAAAAAAAACAATTTAAAAAAGGAACCCCCCCCCCCCCGATCATAAAAAGGAAGAAAAAATCAACAAAACAAGCATAATTATGTCATTAAGTAGAACCGTAAACATTTGGTGATACCGTTACCAACAGACAGCTTACCTACATTACCATATTATCAATGGTTACTGTCCATAAACTAAATCCTAGAGAGTAAATTGTAAAAAATGTAACAAGAGTTAGATTTCCGTGTACTGGTGAATAGCCTCTGACTTCTTATTTGAATTTGAAGCTGTACATTTTATCAAGGTATTTAATAGTGGAATTTATTTGACCAACTGAGAGATTTATTATTATAATTTCAATGCACACTTTTTATTTTTTAAAAATTGAGTTCTTGACACAACTTATACAACTGGTGTCAACAAAATTTTGAAACAGTACAAACTTCTGGAAATTCAGTTGTCACAATTCACCTACTATAAAAAATATTTTACCTGTTAAAAACTCATGGAAACAAAGATTAAAATAATTAAATGCTACAATCATGTTGTCTCAAATTAACCAGTAATTCATCGAGCCTGGGGGTTGACCTCAAATTTAGTATTCTACCAATTACAAATAATACTTGGAATGAACTATCTCCAATGAAATGAATACTCAGTGATAATTGAAGGTCATTCACACAGACAGGCTGAGTGGTCCGTAAAAAGGATTACACTTCTTTTCAATAGAACTAGAACAGATAGCTTTGTATGGCATATTGTTATTGAAAATATATATATTCTTTCACCACACATCTAAAACCATAGATCATACAAATATAAATTGTTCTTACACCACATCTAGGGTCAAAGAGATCACAACCGATTCCTAGTAAAACAAGTAATGGATGTGTACAAACTTTCTGTAGGAATATCTTTTGAAAATGAACGATTTAATTGTTGACTCCTCATCTCTGTGTAAAACTATAATAAACAAAATAAAAAATAAACTTATTCATTTTTTTTTCTCTCTATAAAACTGTTACTGAATAGAAAATAAAAACAAGTCTTAGAATAACTGCATGCCGCTCAACAAAAAACATGCCAGTGCTTTCAAAAAAAAATTTGTGATGAGACAAAAATCCGGGCCAGTTTTCAGTCTTGGACAGCTAAATAAGTTGACTACTTCCTGCTATTCACAAAAGGAGAAAAAAAATTCTGTGCTGAAATCCAACACTTTAAAAAGTTAGTTGCACTTTAGTATATGCCTGCTTTTCACAAATTTAAGTTTTGTGGATAAGTTTAAAAAAATGAGCCAGGTTATGTTATTGTCCTGGTAAAGTCTTTAATATAATTCAACTATAATTCAACTTTCACTAGCCACGTAGTACAAAACGTAGTGGAAGAGTTATTCTGTACAAATGCATGTTATCATAGTTTCCCCATGTTAGGAAAAATATCACAGCTAACACATTCTTATTTTATTGTTCCACTTACTACTGTACAGTCAAGAGTAGATATTTTCAAAACTAGTCCTAAAATATAATACATAACAAATGATCATTTCTTTCAGTATTACTAATGTATAAACAACATGGTAATGTCAGGAATATTGATTTATAGAATAAATATAAGATAATAATATAATGTATTGCTTGGACGGACACCATCACTATGCATACATCTGATGATGTTGTCCCTTCGTAAGGTCAATATAATTGAAATATTCATATTGAGCACTAAGAATTTTCATGACAAATTAAACAAACTAAAAATATCCGGAAAACCCTCTCTAGTATGATGAGAGCATGCCATAAACGTGGGAATACAACATGTCAAGTTAACTGTTTGCATCATTTTAAATACCTGGTAAAACTGAATACCCCAGTAATATTAAAATTGCTCATAGCTAATGAACAAAAATATCTTTGGGATGATCCAGAAAGGTTATTGTTAAACATGTATTTGATCACAGGACTGTTTATGTAAACATAATATAAATTAAAATGACTCTGGGGTAATCAGTGGCCTCCAGTGTTAAAAAACCATGTCTTTTAGACAGCTTTAAAAAAAAGGATTACAGTATTTTTAATGAAACAATTTTATTTATCTTGCCTTCAAGCATGTCCCTGCCTGTCCACCCTCCTAACACCAATACATGTCCACCCTCCTAACACCAATACATGT